AAAAGGCGAAATTAGACTAGAATCCTCAATGCTGTAAATGAGGAGCGCACTCAACGTAAGCTCGTCGATGATTGGTCGGATGGGCGTCTCTTCGAGAATGTTTCCCAGTATAGCAAATGAACGTGCCAAATTCAAATTTGTAGGTGGGGTTCGGACATAACGATCTCGTCGCCACAAGAAAGATGAATATGTATAGGCTTCGTAGATATCGCTGTGAGGTTAGTAAGTTTTCTTGACCATGACGTCTGCTCTTAGAAGAAAAATTTACGTGGAACTAGCCACAATTTTGTTACAGTTACACCTTGTACACTTTTATGTTCTTGATCAGGCGATTTTCCTATTCAATACAGCTTGCTTGATAGCCTGGACTAACTTTGCCGTAAACTGTATCTTCTAAAATAAGACTGAAATTAAATGAGAAAATGTTAAAGCAACAAATTAGTTAAAATCCAAATTAACAAATTAAATTGAGAACACTTTATCTGTTTAGTCGGGCTGATCTTCTACATGTTGGCTGCACATCTGCGCCATAGAGGATTCTTCCAACATATAAATGACTGTGTGTTTGAATTGTTCTGCTCACACGAGGATGTTCTCAAACTTTTATTCGGCTAGCGTTTTGACGTCTTCGTCTTTCTGAGAGATGGTGGTCCGTGTCGATGATCCAAAGCACTTCGTACTTTCGATGCACAGTGTCTTCGTCGTCCTGTCGAATCGGAGCTTCTTCAGTGGAGTACCGTTCAAATGCAGAAAGTACAAATTACTAGTTAGAGCTTTTAAATCATGAGGCTTTTGGAAATGAGGTAAACTGGCATCAGGTAGTCATGGCAACAATAACCAGTCGCATACGGCCGCGTCCACCTCGCTCTCGCTTTCCGTCCTGTCATCGTTCACTTCGCAAATAGTTTATTAGAAAAATAGCTGAAAAATTTCCATTTAGTCATTTTTTCCTAGAAAAGAGAAAGAAGGGTAAAGCATCATCATCAGTATTGAAGCACATACCACATGTATTCTGACGGACATCGACCACTTTTTGATTCTTCAGGAGTCCTATATAGTAATACATTTGGATGTGTTTGGACTCAAAAAACTGTCTACAAAGGTAAGCCCAACATGTGATAGTTTTGGGTCATAAATGAGCACTTATTTCAGAATATTTCACAGTCGCCTCGGCTTTGGCATCTTTCTCATTTGTCCCTAGTTTTCTCACCTTTCTTTTTATAAAATGTTTTTCATGCATCTGTTCTTTTCTAAAATGAAATTTTGCCAGTAGACATTAGCTATTGGGCGTCTCACATCCTGAAGTTCCTTTCATTTTTGACAATCTCAACTTTTACATTCTCCGTTCCGTGAAATACCTATTCCAGTTTCTTCCAGTTTCTTAGCTCCGGTCTCTAACTTTTACGATCGTTTCATGTTTGCGCTTGTTAAAAATTAGTTAGCACTCGCTCAACAGTATCCATTTATTATCCTTTGGTGGCGAAGTACAGGAAAAATAAATTAAGTCTAATACCAAAATTTTTTCTCAACAACGTACGGTGCTCGGGTTTGTGTCTTAAGCGGATGAAAAAAGAAAACAAACGAAAAAAGGGAGGAAAAGTTAGAAAAGATTTATCATTATTATCCTTTTTCATTTTTATTTCACACGACCTGTCTTCACGACTACTATGTGGATCCCAGCACTACTCACATTCGATTCGTTTCCTCGCATATGTCATCCACTAAGGTCTTCCAACTTTTACGTGTGGCTTCGCCTCCTGGTTGAGGATTTTTATTTTATCTTGAGTGTTGTAAAATGATAGTTGAGTCGATTTTCACTAGAATCTTAGATAACCGGGCTAGAGTGTTTCCAACCTGGAGGGATGAGAGGCTTGCTGAACCTGAGGCGGGATCGAACCAGCACCGTGCTTGTGATGGTCGGTACCACCACCAGTGTGCTATTCGCTCTATTATTATTATTGATTATTATTATTAACTGTTATTAGTAACCGTTATTATTATTATTATTAATTACTACTATAAAATATATCGTAGTTAGTCGAGTTTGGAGAAAAAATAAAAAGTAAAGATTACCCGTGGTTAACAAAAATAAGAACTCGACTTGCTAGATTGAGAAAACATGGATATTTTTAGCAGACATCTGTAGATTAAAATGGTTCTTATTTCAATTAACATAATCGGAAACCCACCTAATTTCCTGCTGTACCTATTACGAGTCATATGTGATTCGTATAGTCCGTAGTAAAGGGCGCACGATTATTTTTTGTTTGTCGTTGCTGCAATTGTTCTTCTATAAATCTTTTTTTCTACGCTTTATAATAGTATCTATGTTTATGTATTCCACATTAGGTCTTTAATGTATTCTTCCATGTTTTCCATGCATTTATAGCTTATATGTGAAAATAACTCATTGTGCAATCACGGTGCTGTCCAGCTTTCGATATGGTTTTCTCGGATTTACGAAGAATATTTCTGTGTTTTTCCTATTTTGCCATTTTTTTGTTTACACATCCATTGGATGATTTTCATCTATCACTGCCGCTGAAAGTGAAATAAAAATCAATAATAGGTTGAGTATCCAATTCTGTAGGGCTGAGCCAGATAGGTGGCAGATAAATTGAGCTTCATCCTCGGTTAGAAGTGAAATAAAAATTCATTGAATGAAAAGAAGCTGGATACTTCATTTTCGATTTAATGTCTGTCGAAAGTGAATGAAAAGAAGCTGGATACGCTAATAACAGTGAGAAATCTTTTTGCCTTTCCAAACGACTATGGAGGTCCTTATCGGAAGAAAAAAATACTGAGGGCACTTGATTCGAGTCATTGCTGCACTGTTGGCGGTGGAGCCGACATGTTAGTCACAATAAAGATTAATAACGTAGCCTGCTTAGGCTTATCAATAAGCTGAAGCAATGTTGAATCTTTCTGCTCGTTAGAGAGTTTGAAAGAAAAAGTAAATAAGAGAAAGAGGACGAAAGTGATCATTATGAGGTCAACGGAGATTTCAATTGCAGCCAATCTTAATTAAGAACTTCTACTTGGAGGGGCATAATCGATACACTACTATAAACTAGTGGTGTCTATGGCTATTAAAAGAAAGAGCGCGTGTAGCAAAGTGATCGGAGGCGCTCTGCAATACACATGGACTGGATTCCTGTGTCCCAGGCTCAACAATCCTCCCATCCCTTCGGGTTGGCCAAATTGACACCAGACCTGTCTGGGAGGATAGCAGCACTGGTTCGATACATCGGTAAGCCACTGCGAGGCACTGTAAAGACGAGATATACATTCAATCACCTCCAACGACGCTTAACGAAGTTGAATGCAAAGCATATCACTCAGAGATTGATCAATGCCTAGAGCTTTGTCCTTCTATTTTTATTAATGGCTTTGGGAGGTGGTTACAGAAGGGCAAGGAATACGATATGACGAATCATGGCTTTACGGCAAATGCAGAGCATATTTCTGTTTTGTGTGATTTCGATACAAATTCACCCCAAATTGCAACTTGTGAAGGTCTCGGATTGTAAATGTTGAAAATTGTTTCTGGGAAGTGTAGGTTGTAAAAATCGCTCCTTGTAAAATAAAATCTCCAAATAAACAACATATATTCCTTCACTGGTAAGCTTCATCGAATAAATTTTTTACAACGTCAGTTCACGAATATGTGAGAGAGAACTGATAAGCCGCAATGTTTTCGAAGATGGACGCTTAGCAAGCACACCAACGAACGTGCTCTCTTTCGAATTTAACAAGAATTTTGCTGACTTCGATTAGAAATTTGCATTATAGTTACCGTGATAATCACATCAATACGGGTTTTTCGATTAGTTTACCTACTTATCGGGTTGTGTCTAGCAGTGAGCCTCTGCATACAAGCATAGAGGAGCCGTCTTTTTTCACAGGCAAAAATCTTTCCATTGAACAGGTGAAGCTGCAAGAGGGAGGTTTCTTAAAGATAAAAACGAGGTTTCCTAGCCATGAAACCTCTTTCGGGTAAGTTTTCTCGACCAGGAAGGCAGAACATCTGAGAAATATTAAGCGTAAATATGAGCGATCCTTGGAGGACGTCGTTCACAGAATTTGTACTGAGCAGACTATCGGTGTGATAGAACCGGAAAAAAGTCGTCTAACAAAATAACAACGGAAGTGATTTATAATTTGTGCAGTCACGAGGCTGATGGGTTAAAAATATAAATTTTGAATTGAGATATGTTCATGCGTAGTTGATAGATACAGAGTTGGAAGTCGCAGTTCATTTTGGCACGTGGCTGACTGGATGAATCAATGTGTTGTTGGTTGGTTACTGTGATTTAAGCGAATTCTAATCAAATAGAAACATCATAGCTGTTTTGAGTAGTGTTCAGTGGTTAGGTGAAATAGGAACTTTTGTCGCTCTTTGATCGGAACTGTGTGTGCGTGTGCGTGTGTGTGCGTGTGTGTGTGTGTGTGTGTATGTATGTATGTGTGTGTGTGTATGTGTGTGTGTGTGTGTGTGTGTGTGTGTTGTTCGCTTGAATGTTGGCCTACAAAGCTTTCCACTGACGAGATATCAGATAGGTCCAATACGGTCCTTTTATTTTCAATTGCGGTCCTAGTAGTATTGACGGTCAATGCGGTTGACTTAAACATAAAAAATGGTTATAGTTGCTATGTTTCTACCTACACTAATGTGAATAAAAACTTCTATGAAACACTCATGTATCGAGACCTTTACCTTATTATTTACTCACTTGCTTAACAGTTCAGTGACCATTCTTCACCAGGAATAGATGGGAGTGCAGCAGATTTTCTATTTGACACTTAGGCAAAGTTTTCTTCTCTTGGAACATCGAAAGCCCTGCCATTGCTTTGCATTGCTTCATTTCCGTGTCCTAAGGCTTCAAATTTTCAAGAGCTGGGATGATTTTGGGTAAATGTAATCGTGATGATTCTTTTACTGATATATTATGTATTTTTAGGCCTACCTGTTCACCTTTGTTTAACATCCAGATTCAATTATGGAATTAAGCCTTATGCGTCTCGACTTCGCGCAGGTCGGCACTACAAATCGACTGTGCATGCGCGTCATACCATCAGAGAAAGTCGATAAATCGAAGAAGAAAAGACCATTAGAACGGGTAAATCTTCTTTTCTACCCCATGTTACTTAGCGGTCCTACGATTATTTGGTTGGTCCATGCCGCTATGGATACTGTAGTCTCAATAAAATATGGATTAGTGAGATAAATACCTATTCAAATGCTCTGGTTATCCTGAAAACAGTCTTGCAATAAGCAGAGTTATTTGTTCACACGATTACAGACGATTCAATCATCAGCGTAAGTGATTTGCTCATACCATTTTTAGGTAGTCGTTGGAAGCCAGAATGGTAGTGTCATTTGCATGTGTCGAAAGAACAACGATACACAAGTAGGTGTCACAAACTTCTACCAAATAAAACCACTTAGAGTAAACGTATGTTGAAATTTGAGAATGTTTGGATTAAACTGAAACCATCGAATATTCAAGGATCAGCCCTGTATGTGTTTGTTTTCAAGATCATTTACAAGTTACCTCCTGGCCCACCAATTGAAGCGGTGTGCTTGGGTGGAGCGATCGGAGCACTTCAAGATAAGGTAAATGTATAACTGTAGTTAGGAATTCCGACTTGTTTATTTCAAAGGTTATAATTGTTAACAATCTTGGATATCATTAGAACTTGGAGACGATTATAACATGGAACAAAGAACGCCAGTATTTCAGCAGAAGGGGAAATGACAAATTTTGTTGGCAGTCTGACAGTCTCATCATGTCAACGAATATTTTCTTTATTTTACACAAACGGAGACCGCCTTCCAACGGTTTACCGCCTCGCCGTGGCTGGGAGGTGTTCCTGGACGTCGGGCTACGATGTACAGCGGAGGATTCATGCAGGGTCACCCAAGATGAGAAGGAGTCCGGCGTTTCCATCAGAAAGCCTAGCTAGGAGTTAACCAATACCAAGACCTACCACCGTCCTGCTATCAAAGTCGCATGGTGGCAAACCTTCCTTTGCTCCACAAGGGCTGCGGACGAGGTTAACCTCGGGAATTCTCGGAACCATAATGGCATAACCAGCAAATCTCCGAAAAATGGAGATTATGCTGGGGCCCGCACAACCAGTGAGGAAGGGCCGTTCAAGTATCAAGTAAACGGAGACCGTAAATTTTGCGGATACCTGGAGTCCCTCCATCAGCTTCTTTACTTGTGCCCATCATTCCATGTCGATTCTTCTTGGATTTCTGCGATAGCTTTACAACGACTTTCACATGTCCTACAGAACATAAGCAGCTTCCCAGACAAATCTGGTAACAATTCATCAACCAATAAGTAGTGGTAGGCTTACTTATCCTCGTACAGGGTCGAACAGTACTCTCGCCTGTCATAAACTGCATCACTACCATCACGCTAGATGCGTCGGTGTTAATGGGATAGTTCTGATCTGTTCCCTACCAAAGTATTTAAGGTTGATAAAATTATGATCGATGTTTTTTTTGAGCGGGAAGTTATCGTCTTTGTGGCATTCATCCATTGTTCTGTTTTCACATTATTGCAGCAGCAGCAGTTTCCGAATTTTCTCATTTGTTTCTGACATATTCTTTTCTTTTAGCCGCAGCTTTTGTAGGTTTTCGTTGCATCTGGTAGCAACGTTCGGGGACTCAGTAAGAAAGGAAAACAATTCTTTTCATTTGACACCACAATGGCCGAGAGGATAAGGAGAATGTGAGCTATAATATTAGTTTGTACGAAGTGAGACGAATAAGGTAAATACTCAAATAAAAAATGGTCTTTATGAAAGATAAATACCTGAATAAAGAAGGAGTGAGATACTGAGAGACAGGCGAAACGAAGGAACGAAGGACCCGCATGGTACGGTGGTGAACGCGTTAGCCCCGGAAAGGGTAATAGCGCGTTCGTTCCCCACCGCAGACACCTGCGGTCCGGAGTTTTGCAAATATCTCATCGTTGTGGTTGTATCACACATAATACCCTGCTATGAGAAATAGTAGTAGTAATAGTAGTCAATAGTAGGCAGTACATAAAAAGTAAAGAAGCAGTTTTGCTAAAAAAGAGCTGAAGTGCTTAAACGAAACTCTTGACTTCCTCTAGTAGATGTTAGTGAACTTTTCACTTGTATTTGTAGCAGCGAGAGACCCGTCTTGAATCTAGCTCGTCCTCTAGCCTCAAAGAGTACTGTATCAATCTCGAATCTTTGTTACAAAGTCTGCTTGAATGGTCAGTGGTCTTCCTTTTGTGCGATTGACATTCTCTAGAATCGAGCCACTGGCATCTCTCAGGATCCAATCAGTGATGGAGTCCACGAATCAGTTTTCGTGAACGCAGATCAAGTGTCTGCTCTCTAGGTCGTTTACATAGGGACAATACGTGCAAGGTCGGATGAGTGAGCAGGTGAAACTGTGTGCTCTTTGCCTTCTTCAATAAATTGCAAATGGTCCTGTAAGTTTACGAAGTCGTTCGTTTTTTGTTGTTCTCCTCTAGTACCAGTTCCATCATCATGATAGCTTTCCAATCCAGATTCACATCGGTTGAACATTCGAAGATGCTTGTCAAGTTCAGCGCAAAGAGCAACCACAACATGAAAGTCATTTTGAGTAAATATGGGGCGTCCTACCTAGGCTATTTTCAATGCTGCAAAGAAAATTCACTCAACGAGCAACTTTAAGACATTCATAAAAGAAGACAAAATCCTCAAGCAACCGCCGAAGTAACCTGCGAAATGTTGAGCACCGTGCGACTTAAACGAATCGATTGCCAAAAGTGTTCGGATCCGTACAGTAAATGTGATAACGGATCATGGAAAGTGAAACAATTACAATTTTATATGTGGGGGCAGGTAGAGCTGTGGTAGAGATGCCCTCTTTCACTTAAACGGTTCCGGTTTGACTCTATCCCGATCTCATCAAACATCGTTTCGTTTGGAGGGAAAATTATAGCACCACAGTTCTTGCAATCCAAGGAGAACACTCTAAACCGGTTCTTCCAAAACCCCAGAAAAAGTTGACTCGACTGGCGCTCAATGACATTCATAAGGGTAATGAAAATCCTCAAGCAGCAAGAGAGCTTATATATAAAAAAGCTCGATAACCTTGGTGGATAATGTGTCCAAGGAAGCGAATCGAATGCAACAAGTGTTAGGATTCATTAGGTGTGAAGAGGGGTCATGGAAAACAAATAAATAAATGAATTACATAAATATGCTTAGCTGAGAAACAGACGGAACAAAGGAGCTGCATGGTGTGGTGGTGAACGCGTTAGCCCTAGAAAAGGGTAATAGCGCGCTCGTTCCCCATCGTAGACACCTGCTGTCCGGAATTTTACAATTACCTTGGCATCATTGTGGTTGAGTCACACACAATACCTTGCCGGCAAAAAATGTAATAAGCAGTAAATAAAAAGCTAGCATTGTAAACATATATATATATATATATATATATATATATATATGTACGTATATATTTTGATGGCAGGCATTTTTCGAACTTTGGATCTCGAGGAAAGAAGCGACGAGATAATTTTGTAATCTAGAAAACTAGAATTTTATTACTGTTGAGTAAGGGAACCAGTATGTTGTATGGAAGGATTTGCAGATTATAGGTATTACTAATTTAGCTATTCACATGTAAGTCAAAAAGTGGTCATCTAAATTTGAACCCCCAACCATTTCTGAGAAAATGGGCATTGAAGTCAATGCACGCAGAGTAGTACTTGTTGGGTTTTTATGAACGAAAGTCTAGTTGCTTGGTTTCAGGTTCATCAGCGGTGTTGACTTATTGCTGACTGGACAGAAGAGCATCAATCATTATCACGATTGTGCCGATACCAACGTACGATGGTTCTCTATCACTGGTTTCAAAATTCCGTTTCTTTATTAGAGGTTGAAGAATAGGAGATTGCTGTACCTTCACCAAAGAACCACAATTTTGAATCTCCTCACTTCTAACTTTTTCTAAGTTATTGTACAAGTTCTTTTTTCTTCCTTTTCCGTCGAAACTCTAAACATTTCAAACGGCGAATCCAACAAAAGGAGTAGAATCTTATTGAAAACGACGAATGATATCCCGCGGACGTTCTCAGATGCCAAGTTTGCTTTTTATTTACATACTTGGTACTTGAACGGCCCGGTCTTCACTGGTCTGCGGGCTCCAGCATAATCGCCATTTATCGAGATTTGCTGGTTAAGTCACTGTGGTTTCCTGGAATCCCGAGGTCAACTTGGCCAAAGTCTGCCCCAGGTCTTCACCACGACAGGCAGTCGCAGTCCTTGTAGATCAGAGGGAGATTTGCCACCATGCGACTTTGATACCAGGACGGTGGTAGGTCCTGGTATTAGTTTACTCTTAGCTAGGCTTCCTGATGGAAACGCCGGACTCCTCAGCTTGGGATACCTTGCCGACGAGTTACCCCGCTGTACATCGCAGTCCGACACCCAGGAACACCTCCCAGCCACGATGAAGTGGTAAACCGTTAGAAGGATTTGCTTTTCAAACTTTTAGAAATCAAAAAAAATTTCCATATATCCTCTAAGAAACAAAGTAAAAGCTCTTTTACACGTAAGTGTGGTGTTGAGGTCACCAAGAGGTTTAAAAATGATAAAGGATAAAGCTCGGCGTTCATCAATCCTTGAGGGATGCGCCATGCATTCGACTTCATTAAGCATTGTTTGGAGGTGGTTGATTGCATATCTGACTCTCACACTGACTCGTCGTGGCCTGTCGGTATATCTAGCTAGTGATCCTATCTTCCCAGACAAATCTGGTACCAATTTGCCGACCCCAGAGAGATGGAAGGCTTGATGAGCTTGGAGCCCATGAATCGATCCCATGAGTGTGTGTTTCTCTTTTCGAAAACCTTGGTGAATGCGGATACGCGAAATTTTGACTCCATAGAAGAACTGGGACGCTTTTCAGAGTAATGAGGCGAAGGATAAGGGCATTACGATTTTACATACGGTATTAAAAGTAACGAAGGTCAAATAAAGTCCTAGAAACATTTTTGGATCAAGAACAATACGTTACAGTATCTACTCTGCCCCGACGACGTTCTCGACATTGTATGTCTCACGTCGACTGGAGACGCATGGAGTGGCCGGCCGTTCACCACGGTGGTAGCGTGCGTTGATGCGATGATTCGTGTAAGTACAGAGGAGGACTTTTCTTTTCCACTTTTCATTTTTCTGGGACAAGCAAAAACTCTAAACAACTAAGAATTAGTGTTTAAAGGCTATTAGTGCTCAGCATGGTCAAACTAGGAGCAGATGATTTAAAGATTTGGAGATATCTTCACTCTCTTAAACTTTTATTTGAACCTTACTAGACTCTGCTTGCCACTTTAAACTACTAGCATTATTATATTTCTCAGGATAGATACATTTGAGAGTCTTATAAGATTCGATTTCGACTACTGACAAGTATAGAGTTCTGTAAAACAACTAGGCTACGAATGACCGTAGGTACAACAACGTGTAACCCGAGATTTTTGGCGTCTCACCGATCCTCTCGTTGCCTGACGTCACAGACGAGAGCACTCGGTGCACAGGAATTGGCGATGGCCTATTGCTGGCTGCGCAGTTTGATCTTTTCTGGAGTCCTGACTTAACCTTACAAGAGCATTTTCAGATCTTCATCACCATCCGAATTTGAGGGAAGCATCCCTTCGGCAACGATTCGTCCGCTCAGTCTTATCAATAATTGATTTGGACAGAGTATTACAACCGAAATCAAAAGTGGAAATAGGGATGAAAAAACCACCGACCGCTCGAGAACGATGTAGATGTATCGAGCTGTTTTAATTGGATGACTTGTACAAAATAAAGAGAGTAATATGAAAATTTTTCCAACTTTTTGAAGAAGCCACAGAGCAACTGGAAAGTTCTTTGCCTATCTCCTTGACATAACTCTCTTCTAAACGCTCTGTCGTCCAGCAATGCAGCTAAACATTTAATCAAATTGGGAACATAACACATCAATCACTAAAAGCCTGATGATATCTTCCAAAAACGTGACAGAAATTCGTGCTACAGGCTTCAACCATCTGGAAGCAATGTTATCCTCAAGCGGAGGTCTATATAGTACATTGAAAGGGGAGCATGAAAATGCCGCTTATGTAGTAAGGAAAGTTAAATTGGAAATGAAGGGTTTCGCTACAACGACCTCCTTCAATATGAGGGAAAACATTTACCATTGACGTCAACTAGAAACGATTTTTTGACTATAAAATGGCAATCGCAAGCGTTACTATTCTGAGATCGCACTTTCATCTCTTTTCGTTTGAGAGGAGACGAAATGAATGGGAAATGTATTTATATTCACAGAGCTTGTGAATATGAACTATTCAAGTGCTCCACTTAGTACATTAGTGATATAAGTATTCAACTACCGAACTGCCCATACAAACATGAATTTTTTTTACGAGTTCTTAGCTACATCGTTCCAGGTTACCGAAGGTTCCAATATAGCGTATGAAGTACAAATGAAGTCTGTACCAAATACGCTCTCTCTCTTCATGGGCGATGGAGGTGATCATATTTATTTCATTCTTAATGTGCTTCAGTTTTCTCATAGGTTTTTTCTCATAGGTTATTCTAAACAGTTGGTGCTTTATGGAACCCGAAGCGGAAAACTCGGACTCATTGATGTGAAAACAAAAGAAGCTGAAATTAAGTGGGAAATTTCCACCACCACACTAAGCGGTTTGTTTCACCTGTGCTTCTTCTACGCGGATGCCAAAATCACACAGTTCCGAATGATATCGGGTAGACGTTTTTCTCCGCCTTAACCGTGTAACTCGTTTTTTTCATTCTATTTCATTTCTAGTACTATTATGAGTCCTATTGAAGAAGGAAGAGCTAGTGAGATCAGACGTTCAGTAAACTATAATCTTCGATCTGCTGCTTATTTTCCCACAAAACTCAGCACTTTATAATTGCTATAAAATTTAAAATCTAGATGAAGGAGTCCAACTATGACCCTTAAATGTTGGTTAATTCATCTTTGTATTCTTAAAATGCATGTAGGATATATGGGTATACTACTACAAGACGTAAGTAATACAATGGTTTAATGTTGTTTACACTAGCTACTTCCATTATCAATCCATTCATGGCGGCAAGCCAGCATACAAACAATACCTACTAGACGTTGACATGTTTTTCAAGTGTTGAGAATTGAGCGTACTTTCTCTAAGCGATTACTGCCATCATTTGCTATCCATTCACTGGGCTTGATCACCCTGACATTCTGGTGGGAAAGGACGATGGTGTGTTGGAAATCTACACAGTGGACACCGAAGATAACTGCACCCTCTATGGAATATATGTAAGTTGCCAAAACCCTAACCGTTGATACCATTCACTAACCTGTTCGCTAATGCTGTTTATTAAACCACAGCAATAGAACTGTACAAAGATTTCGAAATTGATTGAGATGAAATTGAGAGATTTCGTCGCAGTTTTTTAACAGAAGTCGTTCAGTGTTTGACGTCAACGTGAAGATAAAATTGTTCCGCGAACACCTAAGCGCAGTTTTAAACGCCGTTACTCAATTGTACTGATAGAGGAGCTTGAAATTCATGTTCTTAGCAAAGAAAATATTACAACTGTTTTCCCTTATCCGTCGTTTGGCAATGAATCTCCTAACTGTCAGAAAATGTACCTTGCATTATCTGCAAAGAAAATCTAGGACTCGCAAGCTCATCTGGCATGAGGCTACGGCGCTGAAGATGAAGTTTTTGAAACTTAAACTTGAAAGAGCGTATTAACAGCCAGGCTTCACAACCTTGTGTGGTTTCCTAAACCCACTAACTTTTCTAGTCGTTTCTAAGCCAATTCTTCCTAGGACTGTGACGAGTCGATCACGAGCCTTGGCTGTGGACGAATATGTTCAGAAGAGGAGGATGAGATTGTTGTCTGCACCTATACAGGCTAGTAAGATTCATCTTTCGCTCTTATTATTTTATCACTTTCTTATTATTTATATACCTCTTATATTAGAGATAATTACTGTCCGAGGAGGATGCAAATGTTGTACGATGAAGACCCTTTAAATGTATTGCGTCTTCACGTAAAACAGATGGCAAGGAATTTTATTTGATACACATTACATCTACATTAAATGGAATCAGTTTTGAATAAGCGTTTTGCTAGCAGTTCTTGATAACATATTAAGAAATAGCCATTAGTAAATTCACTTAGGGTTTTGACATAAACTTAGTTTAATAGAGACCGCTCGCTAACGAGCAATGCTTTATCCTCCGCAAATCGGTCACCTTGGAAATAGGTTGGGCGAACAGGAGAGCCCTTCTTCCCTCAACTTCAGATTTAAAGTCGTACGATTCGGTATCGTCACTGTTGTCGTGGTCGTGCTTAAAAGATCAGAGATCTAAGACAAAAAACTTCTCCATCCACAAAAGGCGAGAACTGCTGCTGGTGAGCGGCAGAAGAGCTTCCTGATACAACTATGGCGGATTCCAAGCAAATGAAGGGCTAGTATTTAACATGCTGTTATGCAAGAAGGAAAAGTTTTATTTTGTAATCTAATCGATAACTGAACCCGGCTACCAGTACGGATTGAGGTTACGGCATAATGAAAAAGTAGAGCAAATTCTGAAAATAGCACGAGATTCGAAGAACAGGTATCTGAGCAACATCGTGATCGTATGAGATCGATTGTCCAGAACTTTACTAGTGGAGCATAACACAGTTATTAATCTTATGTCTGCCACACGAGTGGCTCGGCTAGCACAAGGGTTAGAGGTGCTCTGCAATAGACACTAGATCGGTAGTTGGTTCGATATCGCACCACCCTCGCAGTCTTTCCTCCATCCAGATTTGTCTAGGAGAGCGAAAACGCCAACATAGATACATCTGTGAGCCACCGCAAGTCATTAGACAAGTTATAAGGCACTAAATGAAATATACTTACATGTATACATGCTATATCAATATACATGTTGATACTTGAACGGCCTGTCCTCATTTGTTGTGCGGGCTCCAGCATAATCACTATTTTTTGGAGTTTTGTTGGTTAAGCCATTGTGGTTCCCTGGAATCCCGAGGTCAGCTTGGCCAAAGTCTCCCCAGGTCATCACCACGACAAGCAGTCGCAGCCCTCGTGGATTAGAGTGAGATTTGCCACCATGAGACTTTGATACCACGACGGTAGTGGATCTTGGTATTGGTGTACTCTTAGCTAGGCTTCCTTATGGAAGCTCCTCCTCAGCTTGGGAGACCCTGCCGAGGGGACGAATCTTTCGCTGTACACTAAGTCCGACACCCAGGAACACCTCGCAGCCACGATGAGGCGGTAAATCGTTGGGAGCGATAAAATATGTGAAAGAAGAAGTTAAATTTTCGAGTGCACCACGATATAACCATAGTTGCTCTGGGCCCTTACTTCTTCCGCATCAGTCTCATAAAGACATGACTTCAAAATGAACAATTGTGATGTCCGAACGCGAGTAATTCCGTCAAGTCGGAGGTAAGAATAGGAAGAAGAGCGAATAACAGAAGGGAGCAGAGATTTTTGTGACTGTAACCTAATTGTTGTCAATATGTGGAGATTCAGTGTTTCCACAATTAATCATTGAGATTAGAGAACTAAAAAAGCGAACTCCAGTGGTTATCCTTTGAAAGTATAAAAATAGAATATTTATAGGCAGTATTCCTTGCTTGTCCACAGTACGGATTAACAGCAGTAACACAAAAATGGTAACGGATTTAGGATGGCTGTTTTCTTTAACGTCTTCGAAATCCGGCGTGCGAACGATGACCACTAAAGAAGCCGATGTGAATGTGAAGGTTCAACAATTGAGGTAAATCAGGCATTACCTGAGTTATTTTGTGATCGCCGCCAGTCAAATGGAATACGCTCGTTGGCCCCAATTGGATGCATATATTGAATATAGTACTATTTAGCTTATATAATTTATACGAGATGTTCATAATTTAAAACTAAGTTGATTTATGCCCCAAGCAGGACTGCTTGAACAACTCAATGCAAGGAGAATGCAAATGTGTGAGGAGGTAAAAAGGCAAATATTGCCTTTATGAGATAGTGAGTAGTCTTCAGGCAGCTCTCAAAATTACTATAGGTCTTCCCAAGCTATGAACAAACTTCGATTTCCTTTCATGAGGCACGAAAAAAGCTGTGCATGAAGTTGAGAAAAAACATTCTTCGGAGCAGTAGATTTTACTTGATATTTGATAGTCGAACGACCCGTCCTCACTAGTTGTGCGGGCACCAGCATGATCACCTCTGTTTGGAGATTTGCTGGTTAGGCCACTGTGGTTTCCTGGTATTCCGAGAGCAGCTTGGCCAAAGTCTGCCCCAGGTCGTCACCACGACACGCACTCGCAGCCGTTGCGGATCGGATGGGGATTTGCCACCATGCGACTCCGATACCAGGACGGTGGTGGGTCCTGGTATTGGTTGATCCTGGTATTCGTTTACTCTTAGCTAGGCTTCCTGATAAAAACGCCGGACTCCTTCCTAGCTTGGAAGACCCTACTGGGGTACGAATCCCCCACTGTATATCGCAGTCCAACACCCATGAACACCTCCCAGCCACGATGAGGCGGTAAACCGTTGGGAGGCAGTAGATTTTAACCTACTAAAATCTACTTTTTGTTTATATCGAAGGTTAATGCCTTCCAAATCGTTCTTTACGGCTTTTGACATTAATCGAAACATAATAACTACTATGGAAAAAACAGTGGCTACTATTCTAACAAAGACTGAAACTAAAGCGAGTTTCCTATTGATGAAATTCGGCTGCATGAGCAATTAGTTATGCTTTGCACTATAACACTGGCTACCATTCACGATATCGATGCTGGGTGGATACTTGAGGTAGTTTGACGCTTAGACGATGAATGTTTCATCTTGAACGTTTTGATCAACTGTGAAGTGATTTTCTACCACTTTGTATTAATTGGATCTTCCCCAATGACTCTGTACGCAGTGGAAGCCGAGAGTTTTCTATCAGCTTCGCTGATATCGAAATTCTTATATTTACTTATTTATTACATGACCCGGCATCGCCTATATCATACTAAGAGGATTCTAGCGTTCTTTTATTCGATTTGTTTCCTCGAATTAGTCATCCACGGAAGTCTGCTATGTTTTTACGTATGGCATAGGCTGCTGCTTGGGGATGTTTCTGTTTATCACAAACGTCGTTGAATGCTGGTTAAGTTGAAATTCCTTGGAATCACGAGATAGCTCTATTGGGACGATCTCGCGTGGGCTGGTTTGCTGATTGCATGTCTGGCACTAATTTCCGAACTTCAGATGGATGAGGGACGTAGTCGGCCTTAATAGCGTTGAACCACTTTCTGGATAGGTTGTTCTGCAGTCGTAATAAGCGAGATCACCACCACCGCGCTCCCGGCTTTCTCATCACAGTTTATAGAATATTATAATAGATAATCTTTGTTCGTCTAGGTGAGTACCGCGTAGATTTTTCTGCTTATTGTGTAGGTAACGTGCGGGTACCAAGATGTCTCTGTTGCACCAGTATTCGTCACTAAGGAACAACTCGTCACCGTTGTGCGGTTGTAAACCTTTGAGGGCACGTGTGCGCTTCTAGTATAGACGACGAATCAGCATAACCTAACTCATGACTATGAACGGAGTAAGCGTTCACAGAAAGCGCGTTCATTATTGTGTTTCCATACCGTGTATATTTAAAAACATCACAGGTTCGCAGATCTTTTTGCCACAATCGTGGGTTAATATGTAAAACATCATTCTGAGAAAAGTACGTTCTACAACTTCTTTGCAGCCGACTTACGCCAAGTTTTTAATTTTTAAAATTTGCACCTAAATTTTGGCCCTACCACTGAAATAATCTATGCTGAACTGTTCCATAGCGACGTCTTCTGTTAATGTTCTTCTTCAATGAAGAATGGACTGAACATCCATTTCAATTTATCTTCCACTTTTCTAGAATTCAATTCTGTAAAACACAACTGTTGAATAATAAATTCATAGAACGAAGAATCACAGAAACACGTTATTCTTCAAATAGTTGATCATGGCGCTCAAGCGGCATCTCTTGCTCAAATCAAAGTTCTTTTCTGTTCCGATTATCAAAAATGAACACAGGTAAAATATCGCTATGCAGCGAAATTCGGCGGCCCACTTTTTCAAGTTCCCTAATCGAAAAGAGAGATTTCATTTCATTTTAAGGAGTGAGATCAAGGTATTGGAAACAAAACTGGACGAAGAACGTACGCGTTACGGTGAAATGACGAAGAAAGGCGGCAATCAAGTCGCTTACATTCCAACGTTTGAGGTTTGACATTAAATCTGGCTACCTCTTGCTTACTCTTTGGCTTCTACGAAACATTTCAATAATGGGTCGACTTAGTTGGAAAAAGCATATTGATTTCCTTTAGCGACCAATAGATCCCATGGATTTTGTGGTTTCAAATGCACCACTTTTGATGATATCCGTATCTTCCATTTTAGTTTTTGTGCCCGAAGAAAAAGCATATAAGCAGCTGACAACATTTCGGAATATTTTAAAAAACTATTAGGTAGAATAGATTTTTGAAAGTTTTCAAATAGTCGCTGTTTACTCAGACATAGCTAACGCAACATTTTCCATTTTATTAGTAGACTCTTTACCCCTGTGTTAAAAATAGCTCCATTCATAGTCAGTTTTACTGCAACTTCATTCTTATGAGCATTTAGATTCACGATTCCTTCGAACTTTCACCTGAGCACAACACTTATTCACTCATCATCGAGTTGGCGATACAAATCGATTTTATCATTGTTCAGGTGAAAGAAGAAAATTGTCAGTTTTGTGATTGAAAACGGCGAAAGGAAATATTAGACCACACTGGTAGAATACTGTGTTATTTTTCTGTGGTTTAAAAATTAACAGTGTCATCTTGGCTTTTGACTCCATGAAGAGATAAAGCGCAATTTTCCAGAGCAAAATGCCAGCTCGTCTCGTTGAGGTGGAGCGCAACGCTTCTGTGGTTTGCCAACAAACCCAGAGCGAATACGTGAGTGGTGAATTTAGTATAAAATTTCAACAGAGCATCTTGACGTGTTAGGCAAAGGGATAGTGTGAGCCGATACAGTGAGTGTGCGTCAAGTAATTTCTTGGTTATAATATTGTGCCATCATTTTTTTTTATTTAAAATGGCTCATCTTTCACATATATTGTGCGGATCCCAGAAATTCTTACATTCGATTTGTTTTCTCGTATCTATCTTCCACGAAAGTCAGTGACTTTTCGGGCGTGGCTTCCCATGCTGCTTAAGGATTGTCGATTTCCCTACGAATGTCGTTGAGTACTCGTAGAGTAGATTTCTCTTGGAATCCTGTTGAATATTCATGCTAGAGCGCTTTCTCTGGAACGAAGGGAGTGAATTGATGCCAGACGACTATCGCCGTTTCTAATCAGAGATATGGGTACCTTAGAGAACTCGGACAAGGTCAAACCACCATTGTACTCACGATGAACGACATTACAACCACTGCACTACCTACCCTGCTCTAAAACATTATTGGATGGCTCGAAAAGTAATGTCACTCATAGACTTTGGCTTCAGGTACATATATATCCTAAATAGTTTCAAGCTCATCATACATTTTACTAATCGGGATGGAATTCGTTGAAATCTATTCCTCATTCCAATGAGATTTACAATTACTTATTTCATCACGAAAAATAGTGTTGATCCTTATCCAGAGCCAGAAGGTGTCAGTCTTCTGGGTCAGAAAATTGCTACCAGAAGTGTCTAGTATCAGCTCACTTCACAAAAGTTGGCCGTTCTATGTGATTAAGGTCTGGGCATGGTTATCTCAATATTCAAGAGAGAATTAACTCGACCACTGTTTCCCATGAACCACCTCAAACAATCTTCAGCAACAGCATTGCTCTTGAATTTTTTTCAGCAACGTTGTAGCTCGGATGCTTAAATAGTAGTTACTGGTGATCGAGAGGCTCACTGACCTTCATACCTCTACTCGTTTTCTTTTTTCTGATGCGGGTTTTATGAAATGTACTAGCGGTCACCATGCAGAGTAATTGGCCATTTCAACCACAGACTGCCATTTCTCCATGTACTTCGTCAAGTTTCTGACAACGCTTCTTTGGGGTAGTGGTTCCAAGAAGATCCAAAAAGTCACACGGGTGAATCTATTACTACATACGAAAAAGTCGTTCCAACTCTGTCTTCATGCAAATTCGTCTTCGTGAGTTGTTTTGCTGCTCTTCTGTGTCGAAGCGTGCCCAGGAAGTCATTGGTTGTTGTATAATATACAAATTTTATCGTGAATGGAATTTGTATCGAAAAACTTTCGGGTCACTTTTCATGCAAAGAAGAAGCGTAGTAGAGCAATCTTCTTCAAAAATTAGGTAGCAGTTGTCGTTTCTCTTCTTTCTTTCGTAAGCTAACATAAAATGCATATACAACTTCTTTCTCTTTCCTTCTTTTCGCTTTCCGCTCGATTCACATGGCAGCTATTTGCTCGCCTTTCTTTTAGCACAGTATTTGGAGATGCCCTGCAAGATATGTGTAGTTGTTGGTACACTTCCACACTTAAGACAAACCAGGATCCCTCCATCCCTCCAAGGTTGGTAAATTGGTACCAGAATTGTCTCGAACGATGGAAACAGTGCATCGGTAGGCCACTGCACGTCGTTTTATAGGCGCATTATGCATTCAATTACCTCTGCGATGACGCGAATGGGGACAAATGCATGAAGCATCGATTACTCGTTATAGACCCAAACGAATCATCTTTGATTCGTATTGTAAGGTGGCGCAACTGCTGGAGGTACCCTGCAACACACACGTGGAATCGATCTCCGCGCCCATGGCTAACCGAGCCTTCCACCGCTCCGGGGAAGGTAAATTGGCACCAGACTTGTCTGGGTAGCAGTACTGGCCCGATACACCGGTAGGCCACCGCGAGTCATTGTAAGGGCCATATATGCATTCAATCACCTCCAACGAAGCTTAATGAAGTCGAACGCATGGCCCTCAGGGATTGATCAACGCCGAAAGCTTTATCGTTTTATTTAAGGATTTGCCATAATTTCTTTCTAAAACCAACGTTGCAACGTTTCACAGTTCTCTCGTTAACGTTCTCTTGACTTGACGCACTGTTTTTTCTTTATTTTAAGCCGTTTCCAAGACTCAAGTAAACGTTCCTAATTCTAAAAAAACTTTCGAATTGGTTCTTTTCGACAATATTCTAATGTTCTAACGTCATGGTAAATTTAGACAAAAATGAATAATCGCGAAGGCCCTGAGCAAAGCTCCGCCTTAAAGTGGGTTACAGTAGTAACATAGATGTTTAAACAGTTAAGTACATTGAAAACGGCAAGGCTTAGAATGCACGATTGGCACTTGTTTGAGTAAACATTTGCGTTGAGCGCACTTAAGCTGTTTTCAAAAGAAAGCATTAGTTAGCTTTTAATGAGCTTTTGGAAGATGTGTTAGGCAATTTGTCGTACAATAAGTTATCGAAATAGTGATGGTAAAAATTCCAGTACAAAGAAGTGCGTGCTGCAACAAGGCGGTGTGGTTTTTAGACTCACGTATTTTTAATTCAGTCTTGGTAATCAATAATAGAAAAGTAAGAAAAATTTCCAGTGCTTTATTTCTTGGCTAGGTATGTACAGCATAATATATTCTTACCGTACCACTTCTACTCTAACCCAGTTTGTCTTGAAGGATGAGAAACAATTACTGAAACCTATATTGTGCTATTAGGCTGACTATTGTGTGTTAAAAACAATCTAGGTCCGATTTTAGAACCCATGGGCACTGCTTGCATCGTATCGTTGTCAGGCAAATGTAAACCGTATCGAGTTGCGGGTGAAGATAGACGAAGGCACTTATGGTCCACTGCTGGTTTATATTTGCCCGAAATCACATCCGAAGACTGTACAGGTAAAGGTAGAAGACGGATTCCAAACTACTTAACAAACTCGCTTATCGCCCCTGTATTACTCTGTGCGGCTGCTATCCATCAACTAACTTAAATACTTACAACAAATAAACGGTAGGCGTTTAAATGAAACTGTTTCTTATGCGAATGCAAATTTATTTGTCAAGTTTTATCTGCTGGGGTTGTGAAAGTGTTTGGCCGGGTAGATCACATCTTAATTTGACCTTTCGAGGCTCTGAAGAAGGCGAAACCGCCGAAACGTCAGCTATTGTATCCTAATAAATTCTATATTAACAACTTCGTGTCTGCTTATTGAAGAAAAACATTGAATTACTTAAAAAACGGTTGTAGTGTAAGGGTGGAGAAAAATATAAAGTACCCAGATATGTCAGTACATCTAAATTCTCTGCGCATAACATTGTTAACACTATGAAACAATTCAGCCTAACAAAAATTTGTGATAAATCGATTGTAGAAATGGCAACTTTTTCGGTTAGCGTCAAGTTGATCTGGCAAATAAACGACTGCAAGTGTGACGAGTTGCTATAGAATGGCGATCTGTACATTTCAGATCACTCCCGTTGACGGGAGATTGCTGGTAGTGCCGATAGAGTTAAAAAAAACACTGACTGAGATTAAGAGGAGGCAAGAGCCTCGGTTGGTGTGGTGGGCAGCACTTCAGCTCCCGGTAAGGATAATAGTGGGTTTGAAGGCCCATTCGAGGTTCCGCTCAATCCTCGTTCCGGAACCAAAACAGAGAAAGCAACTCTTCCGTCTTGCCGAAGTTTGAAAATCTCTAACCCATCTATGCTTAAAAAGGCGTGTTGAGAGAAATAAGCTAATTGGACATGTACACATTTTCACTATGATTGAAAGTCGAGTCGTCAATTTCATTCTCCGATAGTCCTACTTCTTCAGATCCGTTCCTACGAAGTGAAACCACTTTCGTCTCATGCCAGGGTGCACTCATTCGATATTTCGCGGCCACTAAACACGCTCTCGTTTCATGGTGACTGACTTTTTCGTTAATTTGTTCCTTGTTCTTTGTTTCCCACTGCAAGCCCATCCCAATTCTACTGCCTCAAGTACGTTGACAATTCTAGATTCCAAAAGTGTCATTTGGTTTATGGTCACAGAATGTAGATAGTATGTTGTTAACACGAACAGTTCTTACATATATTGGTGACGACAAGCTCCTCTCACGAGGCCGATGCACCAGATTATAGTAAGGACGCCTGGATGTTCATGCGTGTGTGGTTCTGCCACATGGGGCTTATTCATTTGTATCGAATGATCAGCCTCAAACTTGCATAATTAGCCCGTTTATATACATAGCAAAAACGTTATTAACACGATAATAACGATTGGAAGATAGAGGCGTAAAATAAGGAAAAAAAGTTGAAAATGAAAGTTATAAGACGTTACAGGTACTAAACGGCAATAGTATTCCAATATTACTATAAAATCATTACAACGATAATTACAATAATGACTACATCACAATACAACAACCAGACGGCCATGCGGGATACCACATCCACACCATCTGTGGTCAGTGTGGCGGCTGGGACTGATAGTGCGCTGGGCGCAGATGGGCAGAGTGAGTAAAACAGAGGGAGTAAAGTACAGCCGACCTGGGCCGTAGCCGCAAGATCTTACGTGATCCTGATTAGACCGGATCAATGGATCACACGAGCAACCAGATAAGTAGGAGGTAATCAACAGGTATGTACTAAGGGCGATGCACAACGACACGAACAATGCGCATTAATAAAGTGCTCAGTAAAGAATGATATCAACAACTGATATTGTTTGGTATTGCCAATTGTTGATACCAGTCCTTATCGAGCACTTCATTAATGTGCATTGATCGTGTTGGGTACGAATCAGGAGACGTTCGGTGCAACGACGCCATGCCCTCTCCAAGAAGTTATACACGGGCGGGTGCAATCATAGGTGTATGTGGACTTGGGCCAGCAGGGTCATAGCGCAAAACATGCTATGCCGACTAGCGGCCCTACACACCACAGTGTGTATGATGGATATAAGGATGGTTATTATCCCACCAGTGGATCAGGCAAAACGCCAATTGGCAAGTCCTGTCTCACCAAGCACGCATCTCGAGCCAATTAGGAGATCGTGAGTAACG